CCAGCCGAGCCATGTTGGTCTGGCTCTCCGAGAGCAGCTGTGGACAAGGGACACACGGAGGGAAAAGAAATTGTGGTTAGATGGGGTTAAACCCCTTCCACGCCCCAGCCCCTTGACCACCCTGCCGTGAGGATGCTCTGCACGCTCCCGTGGCCTCCCAAGGGCCTGCAGGCAACAGTGCTCCCTGCCAGAGTACAGGCTGGTGGGGACCAGGTGGGGATGTAAAAGCCACAGCAGACCCCAGACAGCGTCTCCGGTGCTTTTTGGCCCATGGTCAGGGTCCAAACGGCACCTATTGCCACCAGGGCTGAGAAACCCCCAAACTTGGGTGCATCAGTGCCGCCACCCCGTGGGATAAAGAACATCTCTGAACAAGGGATGGGATCGCAGAGGAGGCAGGAATAGCTGTGTCCTGAGACAGCCGCTGGCTCTCCGCTGTCCCCTGAGGTGACCCGGGCTGGGCGAGTGACATGGGGTGGCCGCGGCAGAGCGGCAGGATGGGGACAGCAGCGAAGCAGCGGGGATCGAGCAGCTCCGGCTGGAGGGAGATGAGCACCAGGAGGGATGGACATGGAGCCAAGCGTCCAGCCGTGCCCTGGATCTCGCTATGATGCTCAGCAGATCCCTGGCGTACCCACGTAAGCATTTCAACACAGCTCTTCGGCTGGGAAATTTTGGGGACTTTAAATAAGGGGGAGCTGATTGCTGCATGAACTGCCCTTGGGATGGTCCTGTGCTGTGCTCAGCTCTGCTCGGAGCCCCCAAACCGGACCCGGAGATGGGAGCCCTGCAATGTGGGAGGCTGCACACCCAGCTCGCTGGCACCGGGGCAGTTTGGCAGCGAGATGCAGGCTGCTGCTGAGCTGGAGCTGAAGTTGTGCTTCAAAGCTTGCAATTCCCAAGCACCCTCCTTAAACCTCAGCTCCTTCTGCTGGAGATCTCCCCTGGACGCCATGGGCAGGGGCTGCAAGCAGCCATACGCCCCCCGTGACATGGGGACAGCAGTGTGCTGTCCCCAAAGAGCACCATGCGATGCTCCCAGCCCCGGCTCACCTGGATGAGCCTGCCCTGCTCTCCCTGCAGGGCGCTGAGCTCCTGCCCCATGGCGCTGTGCCCCTTCTTGAGGCCGTCGCAGTCGGCCCGCAGCTGCACGGCGTGCGTCAGCAGCTTGGCCACCTCGTCCGCCACGGTGACCAGCAGAGCTTTCTGCTGGCTCTTGGTGGCCTTGGCCTCGGCGTCGTGGTCGGTGACGGCACGCAGCAGGGAGGTCTGCAGCCCCTCCAGGCGCCCGAAGGTGCCCGCCGCGTCGGGGCAGTTGGGGTCGATGAAGATGTTGATGCGGGAGCTGTCGGCTTTCTCGATGGTGACCAGCGCGTTGGCTTCCTCCGGGTTGGTGCTGATGACGGGGGGCGACTCGGTAACGGGTGTGTGGTAGTGGTTCATGAAGAGGATGGCGCCCGTGACCGTCACCGCCAGGAGGACGGCCACCGAGAGCAGGACAGTGCACAGGATGTACCCGCAGCTCATCCTCTGCGGACAGAGAGACGGACACCGTCGGGACCCATCTGGTTGGATCCATCCCGCTCCCCTTCATCCGAGAGGTGGGTTCAAACCCTCACGGGCTTTAGGGGGTCCCAGCGACAAGGGAGGTGATGTTGGACATGGGGGTGGTGGCAGAGGAGGGGACGTGGGGACGCCAGGGAGCCCTGCAGTTCTGCCAGGGACACGGAGGCCACAGGCGAGCGCTCAGTGAGCAAAGCAGCTAAACCCGCCTGGGAGCCGGAGGTATGAAATAATAAAGAGAGTGAACGCACGGCAGCCGCCTGCTCCCGCTGGCATGTTTTATTTAAGGTGGTGATATTCAGCTGGAGCAGCCCCGGCTCCCTGGGAGGTGTGTGCGGGGCTCCCTGCTGCCCTGGACACAAATATGGGGAGAAAAAGGGAAAAAAAACCCTCCTGTGTTATCCCAGCGCAGAGACTGTGGGGGAAAGCAAGGAGGGGTGGGAAGGCAGGGGCTGTCCCCAGCAGCAAGGGGAGGCTGTGGGTCGATGCTGGGGCCATATCACCCCGAGCATCCCCGGGACCTGCTCTGCACAGGGCATCTGCCAGCTGCGGGGGGGCCACGCGTCCCTGTTCCCCTTGCGCCCTTGCTGCCTGCCGGAGGGGAGCAGAGCTGCTCCCAAAGCCCTCGGACCTGTCCCAGAGCCCCCCAGCAAAGGGGAGTTGCTGTGGGAAAGACCTCTGATCCCCCCCTGAGCCCCTCCAGCAGCTCCACTGCCACAGGGACCCATCGTCTCAGCCCATGGGAGCTGCTCCATGCACACCAAGAGCCCTTTCTCCTTGCAAAGCGTGGAGTGCCGATGCCAACAGTGCAGAGGGAGCGAGCTGCTACCCCGTTTCATCAGCCCCCCCGTCCCCCCCGCCACCTCCCCTTCTCATTACACCTGCAGGACAGAGGCTGTGATTTTCCCCTGACCCCAGCCACGGCTGTCACAAGGAATTGCAGAGCTGCCAGAAATCTGCAGATTTGGAGAGACAAAGACTACTTTCCCCAGAAACGAGGGGAAAATTGCTGCATCTGCAAAGATTTCCCAGGCCCTGTCCCCTCCTGCTCACATCTATCTGGAGTGACACCTTCCTTCAAGCACCCTTCATTTCATTCATGCTTCTGCAACCATTTGCATTAAGGTGACCCCAGCTGCAGCGGGGCTGGCCAGCCAGGGTCTGGGGGCCATGGATGCCCCATCAGCCACGGGCCATGCTCTGGGTTTATCCCCCAGTCCATGGAGTGTGGCTGGAGATGCAAACTGGGCTGGGCTGAATGGGAAGCCACCCCGTGGGGACCTTCGTAATGAGGCAGCCCCAGGCTCAGCCCCTCAGTGGGCATTAAAAGGAGATGTCAAAGGCGATAAAGCGGAGCTTTCAGCAAGCAGAGGGTTGAGGAGTTTGCCCTGTGTCTGTAGACACAGAGCCCCGGCTCGGAGGCATGAGGGACACCCATGAGCAGCAGGACAGTGGCGGATGGAGGTGGGAGATGCCCATTGCTGACACCCTCATGTGGACGCCCAGGACCTGGGCTCAACCCAACCCCTCAGCACCCTGTGAGCACAGAAGTGACAGGAGGGATGGCTGCTGATTGCAGGCCGACACCGGGTGGTTTGGGATCCTCAGGGTGAGCAGGGACCATGTCCCCGTGGCTGCCCAGCTATCACAGCATCTCCAGCTCCCCGGCTCTGTGCCCTCCCAACCCACAGGCTGCTGCTTCCCCACCATGCTGACATCCCCAGCCCGAAATGTGCCCTCTGGGCCATTCAGACAGGCTGTGACAGCTGAGGGACCCATCCGAGCATTAAGGGTTTCAGGAGCAGAACCGTGCACGGCCAACACTCTGTTTCCCGCAGCCACAAAAATCCAACCAGGCTTTAACGCAACAAAATCCGGCGGCTCTGCCTGGGAGCTGTATCCAGCTGGTTTCCAGCTTTCGAGCCCCAGCTTCGCTGCCCTCCTGCCAGCACTGGGAACTGGGGCAAGAACCAGGGACCGATTCCCTTCACACTCAACCACCTCTGCTTGTGACCACGAGATCCTGAGTGGTGGCAGCTTTACGAGTCCCACGGCATTTTGCTGGCAGGTTGTGTTACCTGGCAACCTGAAGTGGGGAAAGGAGGGAAACGTTCAACCAGCAACGCTCGAAACTGGGGTGTGGGTCCCCCCAACCCCCCCCAGCACAGCAGCCCCCCCAGCTTCTGGCGTGGAGCCCCTGCAGACGCCTCTGCTGCAAGCTCCTGCCCCGCCATGGCCACAGATCTTGTGGCTCCAGGGGTTTCTGCTGTCCACTGCATGGCCTCGGGCTCCCGAATCTGCTTGCCAAGGCTTTCAGGCAGACACAGGACATCCCCCTGACCCAGTTATTGATGTCCCCCTGGGGACATCCATCGGGCTGGAGGGACTGAAGTCTCCAAGTCACTCCTTCCTAAGGAAAGCAGAAGCTGCGAGGCTGGGAGGTGCGCGGGACGAGCGGAGCTTCACTTGCAAACCTGCTCTGGAGCTGGGGCTGGAGCTCAGGAGGGAGCCCTAGGCAGAAACCAAGGCACTGCTGTCTTCCCAGTGCAAAGCTGAGCCGGACTCTCCATGCCCTGTGCTGGCTCAGGCAGCACCTCTGTGCTTGGCCACTGCATCCCATGGGGGCCGGGTCCTCGGTGCCCCAGCCACACCGCGTGAGCAGCCTGCGGGCTGTCCTGCATCCTGGGACTGAGGGTTCCCGCAGCCCCAGTGCCCATCATCCCCCCCAACAAGCGTCCTCCAGACTCCTCAGCCAGCCGGACAGGTGAGTGGCTGCGCTTGGGGTGGGAGACAGCAGCCCCGGCACAGGCAGCCTGCAGGGAGGGAAGGACACAAGCTGGCTTGTCCCCAGGGCAGCCGGAGCAGAGCCAGAGGTGGGCTGGGAGCAGGGATGGAGAGCAGCGGCAGGAGAGGCTGAGCTCTGCCATGGGAGATGCTCTTCGAGGAGGAGGAGGTGCCCTTTGCTCCGGCCAAAGCCGCTGCTCTTTGCTGGCTCGCCGGGCAAGCTCTGCGCTGCGGGATGGAGGGCAGCGATCGCGGGCAGCCCTGCGTGCTCTTCCCCTGTGCCAGATACGAACCAGGACCCCGGTTGTGCTTCCGAGGCAGGTGGAGACTGTGGTTTGCATCACCCAGGCTCAGCTGCTGGGGCAAACTTTAGTCCAGGTACCCCCACCTTTCTGCTGGGGTCCATCCAGCCCTGAAGGAGCCTCGGGGCAGCAGGGGCCAGCCCCCCGCCCCCTCCTCCAAGCCACTGCTCCCTCCAGAGAAAAAATCAAGCAGCTCATTTTGCATCCCAGCAGCTCGCCCTGTGCTGCCCCTGTCCCTCTCCAACCTCCCTGCCTGTCCAGCACTGCTGCTGCTCAGCTTTGCGCAGAGCTGCAGCCTCCATCCCTGGTCACCCTGGGGCAGGGGCTGTAGCCCAACCACCCACCCCACACACACACACCCTGCTGCTCCCTGCGCCCTCCCGGAGCCTAACGCCGCACTTTGCTCGCTCCTCGCAGGCACAGAGGCAGATGAACTGCATCCCGCTGCCGTTACCTGCTCACCTCTGTCACCCACAGCCTGCCTGCTACCCCTCCTACAGCACAGCGTCCTTCACAGCTCGGGGAGCAGAGAGGAGAGGGCTGGCGAGTGCACCGGAGCTGGCTCCATGGGTGAGCGTGGAGGTGGGCTGGGCTGGGTTTCCACTGGAGCTTACGGGAGCTGGGAGCCCAGCACCGACTGCACGGCAAACTCTGTGCCTCCTTTGCAACCCCCTGCACAAACCACCGGCTCCCTTGTCCAGCCCCGTATGGGCGGTGGGGCTGGATCCATCCTGCCCAGCTCATCCTCAGGGCCATGGGGGGGGGCACAAAGCCGGGCAGAGAGCGGCTCCAGCCGGACGGCACCGCTCGGACCCCTGCGTGGAGGGGCTGTGCGCCAGGGAGGCAGCTTTGCTGGGAAGGGGAGAGGAGAGGGAGGTTTCTTTCTCGGGGGGGGCAAG